TTCGAACGGCTCTGCAGTCTGGCGTATTTTTTACTTCCCTTTCTTGCATTATTGCTCTGGCTAGGACTTCTAATAGTGTTTTGAACATTGTTGTTGTTAGGTGCCATCGAGATGGTTCCGACTCATAGCGACTGTATGCACAGCAGAACAAAACACTGCCCAATCCAGAAATGATAATAAAAGGCTTCCTTGTCTGGTTACCATTCACATAGAGAACTCTTTCCATCTCTGTCCATTGAGATTGATGGCGACTGAGAGTTTTGTATACATGCCTTTAACTATGTTGAGGAATTTTCTTTCCATTACTATTTTGCTGAGTATTTTAATGAATAGGTGTTGAATTTTGTCAAATGCCTTTTCTACATTAATTGATATGATCATGTAGTTCTTTTCCTTTTATTTATGTGGTAGATTACATTGATAATTTTTCTAATGTGGAACCATCTTACTTGCCTGGTGTGAATCCTACTTGGTTCTGGTGGGGTTTTTTTTGTTGTTGCTGTTGTTATTATTTTAATGTTGTTGAATTCTGTTGGCTGTGATTTTTAATAAAATTTTTGCAACTTTTTTCATGAGGGATATTGGCCTATAATTTTTTTTCTTTTTCTTTTTGAGTGATGTCTTTGCCTGGCTTTGGGGTCAGGGTTACCTTGGCTTTGGAAAATGAATTCAGGAGTATTTCCTCATTTTCAAAATTCTGGAATAGTTTGAGTAATGTTAGTCGACTCATCTATGAATATTTTGTAGAATTTGCTAGTGATGCCAGGACATGTTTTTGTTGAGACTTTTTTTTTATGACCTGTTCAATTTCTTTTCAAATTTTCTACCTCAGTCAGTATTCATTTTGGTAGGTAAAGTATTTCTAGAAATTTGTCCATTTTTTCTAGGTTTTCAAATTTGTTAGAGTATAGTTCTTCATAATATTCTGTTATTTACCTCTTTATTTCAGTTGGTTCTGTTGTGATATTTCCCCTTTTGTTTCTTATTTGAGTTATTTTCATCTTATCCTTTTTTCTTGTATTAGATTTGTCAATGGTTGATCGCTTTTATTAATCCTTTCAAAGAACCACTGCCTAGTCTTGTTAATTTTTTCTGTTGTTTTTCTGTATCCTGTATCATTGCTTGAATCTTTATTGTTTCTTCTGGTAAGTTTATTTTGCTGCTCTTTTTCTCATTGTTAGAGATGCTGGATTGATGTGTTGATTTGAGTTCTTTCTTCTTTTTTGATGTGTATGTTTACTGATATAAAACGCTCTGTGAGCTTTGCTTTAGCTGTGTCCCAAAGGTTTTGGTATATTTTCATAGTTGTTTGATGAAGGGAATTTTTTAAATTCCTTTTTGACTTCTCTGTTACCAGTAGTTTTTAGTTAGGGCATTATTTTGTTTCCGTGCTTTTTTATTTTTTCCTTTATTTTCTTCTTGTGGATTTATAATTTTATAGTGTTGTGATTTGAGAAGATGCTTTTTAGTATTTCAGTGTTTTAAAATTTATTGAAGCTTGCCTTGTGATCTAACATATGATCTATTCTAGAGAATGTTCTATGTGCACTGCAGAAGAATGTATATTGTGCTGTTGCTGGGTGGAGTTTCTTTATATATCTATGAACTCAAGTTAGTTGATTGTGATTTTTAGTTCTTCTTTGTCTTTGTTGAGTTTCTTTCTAGTTATGTCCTTCAGTGAAAGTGGTGTATTAGTCTGTTACTATTGTAGAGTTGCTTCTCCTCCTCAGCTCTGTTAAAGTTTGATATATGTATTTTGGTGCTCTTTCATTGTGTTCATAGATACTTATTATGGCTATGTCCTCTTATTCAGTTGACACTTTAATCATGAAATCATGTACTTGTTTGTCTTTTATGCTGGTTTTTGCATTAAGTTCTATTTTATCAGAAATTAATATTGCCACTTCTGCCATTTGCCCCATGTATTTTTCCCATCCTTTGATTTTTAGTTAACTTTTTTCTTTTTGTCTTAGTTGTGTCTCTTATAGACATCATATCGATGGGTCATGTTTGATTCTCCATTCTGCTACTCTCTGTCTCTTGACTGATGCATTTAATGCATTTATACCCAGTATAATTGTTGACAGATATGAGTTATTGCTACCATTTCACTGTGTGGGGTTTCTGTGTGTGTGTGTCTGTAGTTCCGCTGATTTATTTTTTCCATGTAATCTTTGTTCTGAGTATTTTTGTTTATGGATTTTCTTATTTCCTTCATTGCTTTTGTTTTGGTTTTTACTAAACCTTTATGATTTTTTTCTTGATGAAAGTTCTATTAATTTCTTTGAGATTACCCTGTAGTTTATTATTTTCTTCCCAAGTTTAAAATTCTTTCTACTTACAATTTTCTTGACTTCTTCCCTATTTGGAAGTTTTGTAATTGTACTATTCATTCCCTGTTTTTACTTAATTGTTATTGTTGTTAAATGCTGTTGAGTCAGTTCTGACTCATAGCAACCCTGTATAGGGTTCCCAAGGAGCAGCTGGTGATCTAGAACCACCAACCTTGCGGTTCAAAACTGCCTTTCTGTCTAGCACATTATCCCACAGCACCACACCACAACTCCCTTTTACTTAGTAGTCCTCATTTACAAACTGATATATATGATTGTGTATTTTCAGTGTGGTAGTTTGATTTTACTTTGTTATTCTTGTGAAGTGCCGTCGAGTCGCTTCCAACCCATAGCGACCCTGTATAACGTTTCTGAGGAGCAGCTGGTGAGCTTGAACTGCTGACCTTGCAGTTCAAACAGCTTTGCAGTCTGGTGCATTAACCCACAGCGCCACACCAGGATTTTACTTTGGTTGCTTCTATATCTGGGTCAGCTTCTGTGTGATATTGTCATATGTGTTAATCTTGGGTTGTCTGCCATTTTTGGTTCTCTGTCTGAAGAGCTCCATTTAATATTTCTTGTAAAATTGGTTTTGGTTTTACAAGTTACCTTAATTTTTGATTACCTGGAAATGTCATAATTTTGCCATTCTATTTGAGGGACAGTTTTGCTGGGTATATAATTCTTGGTTGGTAGGACTTTCTCTCTTTCTTTCTTTCTTTCTTTCAGGATTTTATATGTATCGTATGTCATCTTATTTCCTTATTGGAGTAGTAATGTGGCACTGTGGGTTAATGCCCTCGCTTGCAAGGTCAGCAGTTCAACTTTACCACCTGTTCCTCAGAAACCCTATACAGGCTAGCTGTGGGTTGGAACTGACTCAATGGCACTTAACAACAACATTTCCTTATTGCCTGTGTGGTTTCACCTAAAAATCAGTCTTATTGGTTCTTCTTTGCAGGTAGATTTTCATTTTTTCCTGAATTGTTTCCAGGATTCTTTGTCTTTGGTTTGGGAAAGTTTGGTTATGATACATCTTGGTGATTTTCTTGTGGAGTCTATCTTGTTTGAGTTCATTGAGCTACTTATTTTTGATGATTAGTAATTTTTTCTTCCAACAAATCTTCAATAATTTTCTCTATGCTTTTTGGGGGGTGGGGGGCTGATCTCTTCTTGATCTGAAATGCTGATCATACATAAGTTACTTTTGTTGACAGTGTTCTACATAATATTTAGGGTTCCTTCAGGGTTTTTTATTTTTCATTCTTTTTTCTGATTGTTCTTCTAGCAGATTAGTATTGAGAGATTTGTATTCAGTCTCACTGATTATATCATCTATTGATTCAATTCTAATACTTTGTCCACTTAATGTGTTATCTATTTCTGAAGTCTTAGTATTAATCCTCTGTTTCAATTAGTATTTATTTCTAAATGCTGTTTTTATTGGTCTTTAACTTTTTGTATATTTTGTCAGTTTGTTCTTGTGTTTTCCTGAATTCTTTTAGATTTTTGTCTGTGTTTTCCTTGATTTTTTTTTTTGTTTGTTTTCCTTGATCTTTCTCTCAATGCATTGAAGGTACCTAAATATCATTCTTTTTGAATTCTTTATCAGGTAGTCCCATTTATTCCGCATGAATATTTTGTTTCTGTATTTTTGTCACTGGTTTGAATTACTCTGTATTGTTTCTTTATGTGAACTGAAGTTGTCTGTTGTCTCTAAGACATTGTGGCTTCATAGTATTTGTATTTAGTTGGTGATTGTAGGTTGATGTGTTTTGCCCAGGGTTTGTTTTGGTTTGGTTTTGCTTCACTTTGTTTTGACACATCTGAGCAAGCAGGGCAGGTGTGCTACTCTGCTTACTAGCTTGGCAGTACTGAGACACTCACCATGAGACTCCTGATGGGTGTGATAGAGGATGGGCGTGTGTGCACAGTTCTCTGTTTGCAGTTTGTGCAGAGCAGCTGAAGGCAGGTTAGGCTGGTGTTGGCCACTGTCAGTCATTGAGTACGTGGTACAGGATCAGGGGATGGCCCTCAACCCAGTGAGGATAGGGCACCTGATCTGACACTGAATATTTTTCTGGCCAGAGTAGACAGAGAGTGCATGCCTCCAATTGTGGCAGTGGTGTGTACCTGGTGTCCAATTCATGAGGGCATGCCTCCAATCTCAGGCAAAGCAGAAGTGGTGAAGATGGGGGCTGGCCATACTTTTGATCACAGGGAAGGTGTGGGATGTAAGGGGAAGCATATACCTTTCTGATCATTATCCACTTACGTGGACACAAGTGAAGTCCTGGGTGAGTGGAGTCATCTATCATGTTCTGCCCTGATCAGAACATTGCTTGCAAAAATTCAAAATCATTGTACTATGTCCAGCCAATTGACACTTCACTCTTCCTTTTGTCTCCTTGTTCTCTGTTTTCATTTAGTTTCTTCCTGTAATGTGCTTGCATTCCACTTCTTTATCCTTTCCTTTGAAGGTCAGCATTCCAGATTATCATCTGTATGTGTTTCATTTGGTATCTCATGTCTTTGTTGTCTGGGTAGATTTTTTGCCTAGTCCCTTTACCCCTTTTGTGCTTTGCGTTTGTCTGCCTTATGGATTAATGTGTCCAGTGACATGTATTGCTTGATTAATCTTTTTTTGTTTTGTTTTGTTTTTGGTAGCAACTTCCATTTGCTCAAGAGCCTGAGATATTTGGATTGCATGATAATGTTGATATCTCCAAAGATCTTCAACAAACAAAAGTCCTCTTTGAGTCTTTACTTCTCACCCAGGGAGGTGCCAAGCAGACAGGAGCCACAGGAAGTGCTGACCAGATTCTACTAGAAATTACCAAAGATATTCTCAAGAAGGTAATATTTAGCTTTAAATGCATTGTTTATAATAGAATACAAATCAAAATAGTACTGAAATGACAATCTGAAAACTCCATTGACCAATATTATGACTTGGAGCAAGATAACTTGGCTCTCTGAGCATTATTAATTTCTAAATCTACAAAGAGATGATCATACAGTGAAACCTATGAAAGCTGGAACTCACTGGGTCTGCCTTGTTTTTCTGGATCTAACAAGTTTTCTCATCTGACAGTTTTTCTCCATTTAGTAGAAAAGTTTTGAGTTTTCCTACTCTTTTTACATGTTCCAGTCTTTGCAGGTTTTATGGTAGTACTTACTGAATGATGTTTTAGCAGAGATTAAAGAAGTCATGAATTTAAAGTGCTTTGTATAATGCCTGACATATAGTAAGTCCTTTTGTGGATGTACTAATTGAATGTATGATTTATTATCACTCATGAAGTAAAGGTAATAGACTTACTTTTAAAAATGTAGAAAATGATCTGAGGCGCAAGAGACAGGATCTACACTAAGTTAATCACTATAGATTTTATTAAAAAAAATTTTTCCCATGGTACAGCTCAGTGTACTCAATCCTGTTAAGTAAAGCAGAATGGTGCTCTCTCTTCTCACCATTTTTCTATAATTCCTTTTATAGAAATTATAAATTTAATTTGTAATTTAATTTCAATAAGTAACAAAAGTGTTTTTTTAATAAATAACAAAGGTATTTTTAGATCTTAAACATAGATCTTCACAATAGCCCTCCAAGGTAAGTAGTAGAGTTATCCCCTTATTTCATATATGAGAAACTGAGGCTCAGAGAGCTTGAACAATGGTCCCATCTCATACCTGGCAGAGCTGTTTACTGAAAGGTTGAAGGTTCAAGTCTACTCAGAAGGCACCTCGGAAGAAGGAACTGACAATCTCCTTCTGAAAACTCACCCACTGAAAACCCTGTGAAGCACAATTCTGTTCTAACACACATGAGTTGGCATCAACCCCACAGCAACTGGGTAGTGAGACTAAGATGAATTTTTTTGTACCATCCAGGAACTGATTGGGAAACTCCTTTCCCCTTTAGAAGTGTGAATCCCATTGTCTTGAAGCTTGATCATTAGCTCAAAAATTCTTCTTCACCACTTCCTCTATAGAGTCTCTGAAGTACATCACAGAAATCAGATGTTCTGTGGCCTTTTCTTTTGCTCTAGGACTCTGTAACATTTAAACAATTAATTACTTAATGGAGTCCTGGTGTAGCACTGCAGGATAATGCGCTATACTGCAAGGTCAGTTTGAACCACAAGGTCAGCAGTTCAAACCCACCAGCCACTCCTCGGACCCCTATACAGGGTCGCTATGGGTTGGGACCAACTTGATGGCACTTAACAACAACAATCATTTAATTATGGAGTCAACTAAGCTGTTTGAAGCCAGTTTATAATTGATTGGAAATGGTATAAGACCTTTTTTTTAAGCTTTTATTGTGAATTGAGTGATAGTTTACATGGGAGGACATCGGTTTTGCACATGTCCTATCATATTTGGTTTCATTGCAATGATTACAATCCCTTCCATGCATCATCATTCAACAATATTTGCTTCTATTCCCTCTGTTTTTGTTTTTTGTACACAAAAACACTCAGGAATATATAATAATGTAAACAACCCAAGGACACATTCTGCAAGTGTGTCTCTTGGCCTCTAGCACACAGCCTTTCTCTTTACATGAGTGTAGAGTCCTCAGCTGTTCTATCTCTCCATGCCATTATCTCTGCCTTCATCTCTGGTGTCAGTGCTTCTCTGGGTAGGGTCCCACAGTCCGCTCTTGCTCTTCTCCCTTGATGGTTCTAGGGTCTTCTGTTCCTGAAATGTAAGATTAACTACTCCTCACTTTATGTTACAAAACTTCTGCCTTTACAGTGTGACATTCGCAGTTAGTCATGATAACAATTATTCACTATTGAATCATAAGGATCTTATCCCCATCTCCTTTCACAAGACCCATCTAGACAAGATGAAAAGTATTTAGTTGGAATTCTACCTTCCCCTGCACACTCTGAAACTAAACTCCCTCTTGAAAACTTGTAAGCCAGCCACTTCATGTCTTTATAGCCCCCTCCCCCGTTTTAGGTAGCCAATGTCTAAATTGCCCATCCCTGTCAACCCTGTATACTGAGGGAATAGGCTTGATCCTTGATGTCAAGACTCCTCTCCTCTTGGTTGGTATTTCGAGCTACTACATCCATAAGTATAGGTCAAGTTCATCAAATTGTAACAATTTACACTTGGTTCTTATATCAAATTTCTTTATCTTCTTCTAGTCAAGCTCTGGTTATCAAGCCATCAAAGCAAGGTCAAATGGGTGCTATTTGCAAGTTTTGGTGTTTTTGTATGTCTCCCCTCACTTCATATCAGCTGGACGCTTCACTCTCAGCTCTAGCCCTCTGTGACTAAGTCAATGTACATGGGCTCAGGAGTTTCCAAGTCTCCCCAAACTTCAGACCAACCACTCTTTCCTCTTCTCTCTCTCATCTTGAGGTCAACAGGAGTCTAAGGAATATGGTTGAACTCTGTCTCTATCTCCTTACTGACTTTCCCCCAGATAACTTACATGCCTGCTTATGGTTCTGCCTTTGAGTTTCAGTCCTGGGGGCAGGGGTTTGTCCTGAAGGGACTTGATTGCCTGATTTGATGGTTCCCTGACGAACAGCTTGCTTGTTCTTGTAATAGCCAAACAGACTACCATGTTTGTTTGGGTTTTTTTGTTTGTTTGTTTTTTTCCTGCTGGTCTTTCTTTCCGGAAGTATCTTCTGTTCCTCTAGCTGCTCTGGACTGGTCTGCATGTCCTTTCAAGTGGGGATGTCCCTCTTCGGAAGCTTCTGGATGGGGCTCAGGATTCCACCTAAGGTCCTATATACTACAAGGGCTTTGCAAGAAGCCTACTTCAGTGGGTAAGTTCTAGAACCCCTTTTAGGTGTTCCAATGAGTTATAGACTGAAAATGGGCTTATAAGCTTTTTGTAATGTTTCTCAGTATTCCATTCTGTTCCACTCACGTGTCTGTTTTACAATAGTAGGAAAGGGAAACCAATATTCATAAAACAGTCAAACATCTTAACATGATTTCCCCTCTTTTACCCATTCAGGTTATGCATCAGTCCCTGTATCACAGAGCACTGTTGTTCCAAGGTTGAGCATACATCACTAGTTACCTCTGTCCCGTTTAACCCAAGCAAACCTACCTAAGTGTTCCCGTTTACCTTGTTCTTTCATCCCCCTCCCCCTTCTTGTGTGTTGCCATGACCAACACCCGAACTATGATATGTCTATCCCCTAACCTGTGTTCTACTGTCCCCTCCTTCTCATACCTGGTAACTAACAAAGAATTTTTTTTTTCCTTTTAGTAGGGGTTTCTTTTCGTAAGCTTTTACAATAATGGTCTTATAAAATATTTGCCCTTTTGTGACTGACTAATTTCACTCAGCATAATGTCCTCAAAGTTTGTCCATATTATGCAGTCGGTGGTTTGAAGCTTCCTTGTTATTTTTCAAGGAAGCGTAATATTCCATTGTGTGTATGTACCACAGTTTGTTTTTCCATTCTTCTGTTGATGGGCACTTAGGCTGTCTCCATCTTTTGCTATTATGAATAGTGCTGTGGTAAAAATTGGTGTGCATATATGTACTGGTGTTCTGGCTCATATTTCTTGTGAATGTAAAGGAATTGCTGGATCATAAGGTATTTCTATTTCCAACTTCCTGAGAAAGTTGCACCATTTTACATTCCCACCAACAATGTAGGAGGGTCCCAGTCTCTCCACATCCTCAGCATTTATTGTCCTTTGCTTTTTAGAACTTTACTGTCAATTACTGGTGTGAGATGATATCTCATTGTTGTTTTGATTTGCATCTCTGGTAGCGTAGTGGTTATAAATCGGGCTGCAAACCTCAAGGTGAGCAGTTCGAAACTACCTGCTGCTCCATGGGAGAAAGATGAGGCTTTCTGTTCCTGTAAAGATTTACAAGTGGGGAAGGATCAGAACAGCCACGAATGCCTGACACAACCGAGGAGATAAAGGTGTGGACATTCATTTTTTTTGTATCTGTCCATTGTTCATTGGTCTCTCACTGACTGTGCACCTCCATTCTGGTAACTAGAGGGGATACCTGAGTGAATGGGTACACCACCCCCAGAGAGTTCTTCTACACATGCACACAGATCTCCTCAAAATTTAAAGTGACAGTTTCGACATAAAACCACTCGTCTGTTTTTCATACTGTGGTTGCTGTGATTCTGAGGGCTAAGCCATCGATATTTTAAATAGCCAGCAGGGTCACCCATAGTGGACCGGTTTCAGATGAGCTTCCAGACAAAGACAGACTAGGACGAAAGAGTGATGAACTACTTCCAAATCTTTAGTCACTGAAAACCTTATGAATAGCAGAGAAACACTGTCAGATACAGTGTCAGAAAATGAGCCCCTCAGGTTGGAAGGCACTCAAAATGCAACTGGGAAAGAGATGCCTCCTCAAAGTAGAGTTGACCATGATGACGTGAATGGAGTGAAGCTCGTGGGAGAAAAGCCCACAGAACCTTCATTTGCTGATGCTGCACAACTCAAAATGAAGAGAAACAGCTGTAAACATCCATTGAAAATTGGAACATGGAATGTACGAAGAATGAATCTGGGAAAATTGGAAGTTGTCAAAAATGAAATGGAACGCATGAACATTGATATCTTAGGCATTAGTGAGCTGAAATGGACTGGTGTTGGCCATTTTGAATCTGACAACCGCATGGTTTACTATG